GCCCCACAGCACCTTCGTTTCCACGCGCTGCACCCCGAAAGCCCAATAGTCACACACTGCTCCGGCCATGGCACAAATTTACCCGACCGCGGGGGGCCAGGAGGATGTTTTAAATTGGGTTTTAACCGTAAGGCAGAGGCCCGAGTTCACGGGGGACTCAGGCTGATGGGGGGGTTGAGCACCGCGGCAGCAGCCGCCTTCCCTCCTCCCGCCCCTCAAAGCCCGCCCCGGCCCCCCACTCCGCCGTCCTCACCAGCTTGGTGGCGCGGTAGGGCCCCGGGGCGGCCGGCCGGCACTCCATGAAATGGCGCGGCGCAGCGCGGCACGGCCCGCCCTTCCTCGCGCGGTTTGAATCCGGGGCGCGAGCCGCCTGCCGAAGCGGATTGGGCAAGCCGGACGGGCATGCGCCACCTGCCGTGACGCAGCGCCGGCCTAAGGGGAAGGACTGTGGAGTGGGAAGGCGGTGGGCGCCTGGAGAGGGAGAGTTGTGTGGTAGGAGCAATGTCATTTGCCCTCCGAGTTGGAAGATAGCTGTCTCCCGAGCAGCCGCAGAGCTATCGCGGAGTTCGCCAGGCCTTTGTGGGAGGGTGTTTTAATTGTTTAATCCCTAGGATATCGACTGAGCTGCGCTGTTAGGGGGCCAACGAGGGCAGCAGTGGCACATTCTGGGCAGGAGATGCGCAGGCGATAGCTGAACCTCTCAGTTAAGGGCCAAGTCTCAAGCTCTGTTCCTTGCTCACAGGAATAGAGTAGGTAAGTGTGGTAGAAACCACGTACAGCAGCCACAAGTCAGTCCTAAATAAAGGCTTAAAAGCTTGTGTCTTCTCAGAGACTCACCTTGGTTATTTGTTAAAGTGAAAGAAGAAAACCCCACACACTTGCATTACATGACTTAAGTTTCCAGGGGCAGGTGTGACACACTTCTTAGGTCCTGTAAGACTATCCTATAGCTTGCACACAACTGCCTGAACACATACACTAACTGCTTTCAGAAGGAGGCACGTTCTTTCTACTATCCCGTCTCATCCTGGGGGTTTCCTGCAGATACAGGAATACTAGAGACCCCCCCAAAACCAAACCAAAACACAACAGACCAAACCAAAACACCAAAAACGCAACAACCAGAACCCAGCTCCACCAACCTAACATTGCAATAGCATAGCTTCCACAGTTTTGTTGTTGTTGTTTTTAAAAGTGTTCTCTTAGAGGCTGTAGACCACATATACTCATAACCTGGGAGCTATAAATACCCCAGGAGTGTTTTATCTCATCTTGATAATAGCCTCATCGCTTAAACTTCTTTTATAGCCAATAAAGACACACAAATACCTCAGACACTTTTATAAGAAGGGATAAAAACATTACTGCTGTGAGAAAACATATCAGCATAACAAGTGTATTTAAGCAATAAGACCCAAAGCTGCAGCTTAGGAAAAAGAGCAGAAATAGAAAAGCCAAAGCACCAAAACATGCAGCAACCCAGATAATGCCTCCTAGCAGACTCAGGACTAAAGCAGCACTGAGGAAACCCATTTCTCAGCTACAAATCCTGCTAAGGGAGGGGTGGCTGTTCTGCTTTTGTGTGCTTGAGAAATCAGTTGCAGGAGCCTGTCAAAGCTGGCTCCTAGTAACAGCCATCAGATAGGTGAGCTGTGGCACCTGAGCCAGCAGTTTTTGGCTTATGAGTTGGTATAGCAAGCAACTCAAAATTCAGTGAAGCTGTGTTATTTCACTTATATTTTGTATCTGATTAGAAGAAGAAAGATGTAGATTCTCTCACTAGATTATAAAACTTTAGAAATACTCTTAATCACTTATATATTTAAACAACTCACCTCCTGTTTTACTTTCTAACAGAACTTCCTGATGAGTGGTTGCCAAGACAGAAAGTGGTATTGATTTTTCCAAGCACCCGGGCTCTAAGCCTGCTCAATAGTATAGATCAATTTACTGATTAACTTAGGGAAATCCCTGTGAGTAAAACCTGCAAAAGGTGACGACTGTGACTGTTTCACTACAGATTGCTTCCCGTACTCCCTCTCTCAGGTAATTTAAAAAAATATAACACTTGATATATTTGCTTTCAACCTACTGCCTATAGATGATCTAATACATTTTGTAAAACTTTGTCTCTTAGATCAAATAAAGAGGTTTTAGGGACATGTCTGCCAAATACAGTAAAAGTGATAATCAGAATAGCCTGGGAAACATGACAGACCATCTTCTTCATACTGGCATATGCAGTGTTATACTATTGTAGCCTAGAGTAGAATAGAATTCTTTCTGCTTTTACAATTCAGTTTCAAGTCTACTTTTGCTTGTAGGGTTCCCTATTTAAAGAAAAATGACTACACAGAGTCAGGCATTCTGTATTTTTGTCACTACACAGTCGTGTATGGATGCAATCAACTGGAAATATAAGCAGTCTTTTAAAATGATTGGAGAGCACCTTCAGGTCACTAAAAATATTCTTTGAGCCAGTTTTATGGCTTTACAATGAGATTTCCTTATCTTTCAGTGTTTTGCTTTCCTTTATTCTCATTAGAGAATACCACATGCCCAGTGCATACCTATTCAAGTACCAACCAGCTCAGCTATAGGGGGGAATCTGTGGAACGCTCCACTTACAAAGTTCTGCAAAATACACAGAGGAAAGTAATGGGGAAATTAAAGTGTTATCTTCTGCTTCCCCTTCATAATTGCTTGATGTTGGTGTCTGCTACCAGTAACAGTAGAAAGTAAAATAAATAGAGGTTAATAGAGGTCATTTAAAATATCAAGGTTATGGCTGTCCCTCTGGATTTCTTCTCACTGTGTGTTACTAAACAGAAGAGGTGTGTGCTGTTTATCCTGTAGGTCTTTGTTTTACTGGTTTTAGACATAGGAATAAAGCTAATTGGAAGTACTTAATATTGATCTCCTGATGCAGCTGAATTAACATTCTTGCTCTCAAGTTCAAATAGAAAGTGATTTTAAAACAGAAGGGAATAGATTGTGGAGACTGCTAGTGATAGCATAAGCTTTCTGGCCCCTGTGTTTATGCCTTTCTCTTTACCACCACTCGGTGTTGGTTTTGATCTCTGATAAGGTTGGACTCATTCAATTGCAGTAGGAGCCATGACAGTGCTGCTGCTGGTACTCACTGGGAGCAGTGGTGATGAATTGAAGCTTTAGGATTTGCTGGTGTAAGCACAGACAGTAGGAAAGTGAAGAGGGGGCTGAGCACAGTGTTTGTGAAGTGCTGGGGAGATCTCAGAAACGTACTTTGCTAATGTGCTGCTGCTATTCTTTCATGCATGTCTGTTTAAGTTTTGAGAAACAGTGGGAGTGGGGAGGGACTTTTTAGTAGGCAAGTAGTGATAGAACGAGGGGGAATAGTTTTAAACTGGAAGAGGGGAGATTTGGACTAGATATTAGGAAGAAATTCTTTACTGTGAGGTTGGTGAGACACTGGCACAGGTTGCCCAGGGAAGTTGTGGATGCCCCCTCCCCAGAAGTGTTCAAGGTCAGATTGGATGGGGCTGTGGGCAACCTGGTCTGGTGGGAGGTGTCCCTGCCCATGGCAGGGGGGTTGGACTGGATGATCTTCCAACCCAAACCATTCTATGATTCTATGAATTTGCCTGATATTTAGTGAAATGAAACAAGAAGCATAAAAATGCATAACAGCTGAAAGATATGCGAGTCCTTAATGCGAAGTTCTCATAGTGTCATTGAGATAACAAGATAAGAACTCAGCCATTTACATTTCCAGATGACACATTTAAGCAATATTTTTTCCCCCAAGAACATTACATATCATTCTTTGAGGATATTAAACAGTGAGGCCTGAATTTATTTATTTTGTTAATATGAGATACAGACTTCTTGAAAGCAACATTTTGCAGACAAAGATTCTAATCTAGGCAGGATGTACCTGGAGGAAAAGTCCACATTGAAGACAAACTGCATCAATTACCATATTTTCATTACAATATTTTTTTTTCTTAGAAAAGCAATTCTGTGGAATTTACTAGCTTTCAGATAACAACATTCCACCTGATTTGCTGCTTTCTGGAGAAGGAATGACTGTACTCTTATAGCGACAGTGCAGACACTTTTCAGGAGGATTAGTGTGGGCAGAAGAATAGAGAGTGCCTGTGAAGGTTCTATTGAAAATGTGCATGTGAGAATTTGAGAGAAAAGAAGAATCGCATTTTGGAACCATATCTTTTTCTACTAAAATGCCCTGAGTAGAGTCAGTAACTTGTACAAAACATCACTTAGAGGGGAGGTTTTATGCAGTACCAGAAAAAAAAGGAACCAAAAATAGTGGGATAATTCCTGC